CCGTCCTCAATCAAGCTCAGGGACTCAACGTCCGGGTTAGTTATCCCGGCAAAGCAACCTAACAGCGATGTGTAGGAGCACATCTGGAAGCATTCCCTTTAAGATTCAGATGAGAATCCAATTGTAGAATTCTGCTGTTCTCGCAGTCGTAGTCGCATTCGCGATGACAGTCGCAGTGGCAACGGCAGTCGCAGTCACAGCCTCAGCCTCAGCCTGCCTCAGCCTCAGCCTCAGCCTGCCTCAGCCTCAGCCTGCAGCCTCAGCCTCAGCCTCAGCCTCAGCCTGCCTCAGCCTCAGCAGCCTCAGCCTCAGCCTCAGCCTCAGCCTCAGCCTCAGCCTCAGCCTCAGCCTGCAGCCTCAGCCTCAGCCTCAGCCTCAGCCTCAGCCTCAGCCTCAGCCTGCATCAGCCTCAGCCTCAGCCTCAGCCTCAGCCTCAGCCTCAGCCTGCCTCAGCCTCAGCCTCAGCCTGCCTCAGCCTCAGCCTCAGCCTCAGCCTGCCTCAGCCTCAGCCTCAGCCTCTCAGCCTCAGCCTGCCTCAGAGCCTCAGCCTCAGCCTCAGCCTCAGCCTGCCTCAGCCTCAGCCTCAGCCTGCCTCAGCCTCAGCCTCAGCCTGCTTCAGCCTCAGCCTCAGTCTGCCTTCAGCCTCGGCCTCAGCCTCAGCCTGCCTCAGCCTCAGCCTGCATCAGCCTCAGCCTCAGCCTCAGCCTGCCTCAGCATCAGCCTGCCTCAGCCTCAGCCTCAGCCTGCCTCCTCAGCCTCAGCCTCAGCCTGCAGCCTCAGCCTCAGCCTCAGCCTCAGCCTCAGCCTCAGCCTGCCTGCAGCCTCAGCCTCAGCCTCAGCCTCAGCCTTCAGCCTCGGCCTCAGCCTCAGCCTGCCTCAGCCTCAGCCTGCATCAGCCTCAGCCTCAGCCTCAGCCTGCCTCAGCCTCAGCCTGCCTCAGCCTCAGCCTCAGCCTGCCTCAGCCTCAGCCTCAGCCTGCTTCAGCCTCAGCCTCAGTCTGCCTTCAGCCTCGGCCTCAGCCTCAGCCTGCCTCAGCCTCAGCCTGCATCAGCCTCAGCCTCAGCCTCAGCCTGCCTCAGCATCAGCCTGCCTCAGCCTCAGCCTCAGCCTGCCTCAGCCTCAGCCTCAGCCTGCTTCGGCCTCAGCCTCAGTCTGCCTTCAGCCTCGGCCTCAGCCTCAGCCTGCCTCGGCCTCAGCCTGCCTCAGCCTCAGCATCAGCCCGCCTCAGCATTCAAAATGTGGCCGGGGAATGGAGTTCTGGGAACTCGAAGAACACGAAGTGGCCTACAGTTGGCTCCGGGCATTCAAAATCATGCCCAGGAATGGAATTCTGGGATTTCGAAGTGCACGAAGTGGCCTACAGTTGGCACCGGGCATTCAAAATGTGGCCCGGGAATGGAGTTCTGGGAACTGGAAGAGCACGAAGTGGCCTACAGTTGGCTCCGGGCATTCAAAATGTGGCCCGGGAATGGAGTTCTGGGAATTCGAAGACCACGAAGTGGCCTACAGTTGGCTCCGGGCATTCAAAATCATGCCCAGGAATGGAGCTCTGGGACCTCGAAGACCACGAAGTGTGTAACTGTTTGCTTAAAACGGCTTCCGCGGGTTCTCCCCGGCACCCGCCCAGACCCCCCTGGGGAGTCAAGATGCTCTCTTGTGACACTACTAGAAACCGTTCAGTCTTCGCTGTTAGGTAAAAAGCCTCCAAGGATTAGCGTAAGCAGTGAGACGGCCCATATAGTCAAACTGAGCCCTTCCATCTGTCGGGAGTTCGGCGAACAAAGCAGTGACGATCTGCGCATGCCGACGGGGAAACCGAATAAAATGCGCCAACCAATTCAAACGTCTGACCCGAAGTTCCAGGAACGCTGGGGTAAGTCTCCAGTGCCGAAAACTTGTTCATTAGATAAAGTGTACACGCCGTATCACTGCGCTTACATTGCGCTTCCGTAACTAAATAGGCCTCCAAGTTAGATATCCCAGCATTCTGAACCCCCATCAGAACTGAGCGGCGGAGCCGAAAGGCCACATCAGCCGTCCTCCAAAACTTCCAAGATAATGAAAAACAGCCTGTAAGGCCGAAATGCGCTTAGTAACTTCCACCGTGATAGACCTCATCCCATGAATCTGTCCACCCAGTACCCTCATAGCTGGCGTGATTCTGCCAGCGAAAAAAACATTCGAGCACCTTAAACTTTGATCGGCAGAGACCGAGCCCTGGCCGACGAGCGAGACAATGGTGGTCAGCTTAGTCTTGTTTTGTGCCTATCCTCCCTCGGCCAGAGCTTCATCCAGTGCAATGTTGGAGTACGCATTTGCAGCAGCGAGCTCCGAGAGACCTGCATCAATTAAACCGATATCCCCGCCTCCTGCGATGTGCAGCTTAGTGAGGTCGTCGGCATACTTGGTAAGACTGAGATCCACCTCCCCAATCCCACCTACAGGACACTCCGCTCTCAAAAACTCCTCCATTTCCATGGTCTCCCTCATCTTCTCCCTCCACTTATCTACTGGATGATCATAAGCTCTGCCAAATCCCTCAACAGCATAAGGATCGCCCATCAATGCTCCGCAGCGTGGGCGTACAACCAAGGGCCTATCGCGTGTCGGTCGCACAATGGTAGCACTGCGGAAGCGGCAGCGCCCAAAGTGCTGATCATTTGGGTCTAAAAGTGCAAGATTGGCCGTCTCCAAAAGCTCCCAAGAGGTGGACGGGAACGCATTGCTGAGATCCTTGTTGGACCAGGAAGCATTGTACCCTCCAAGTCGGAGGCGATGAAGCATAATATGAATAACCATCATAGCGCCCTCTTTCCGCCTTCCCCGAGAAAAACCATAATCACAGGGCCCGAGGGGTGCGGGACGACGACGACGCATCGCCCCCGCAAGCCACGTTTTTCCCAACGGATCGAGCAGGTGGATCACCCTCTTCCCCTTGGGCCCCTGGACCGAGCTCTTCGGCGAAGCACATCCAACACTGCGATTCCAGAGCCGAGGAAAGCGACGAGCGACGCGTACACACTGCAAACCTTCTCCAGTAATAGTCTGGAGACGCTCCACGTCGAGAGGTATATCAGCACCAACACCTAAAAGTTGCTTACGAAGTCCAAACTGCGGGTCAGTGATCATGCCCCAGATCTCCGCTGGGGCAGTCCAGGGCGGGCATGATCTTCGTTTTGGTGCTCGCCTAAGATAACTGGAAATACATGCAAAATCCGTCTTGGCCTCAACAGTGAAAGCCCCATAGTATCCCTCCCCCCCACCTCCTGCGAAATTTCAGACCCGTCCACCTCCTCCACCAACGTACCCCCTCGAGGACCTGTCTGGGCCCAGACCGACATCCAATCGTCGGCCGCGAGAGAAGCAAAGCACCTTGCAGATGTCGAACGTTGCGGCCTCGTGGGGCCCTGCCGCGGCAGGTGAGGAGTCTGATCAGACGGTGCGCCTCCTTCAAGTTACGAGCTCTCCAAGCTTCGTCCAGCTCATCGGTGACCTCCTTCCTCCAACTTCTATACTGCCTCCTCCTCATAGTCGAGCATTCCTCGCTGACCATCCTCAAAGCCTCCTTCACCTCCTCCTCCTCCTCCTTTTCGGTGCCTGTCCCCGCCAGGCGTTGGCGAAGCTCAATGCGACGATGCAGCAAACGGCGACGCTCTTCAGCGTGTCGGCGGTACGAATCAGAACTGCTAGTGAGACTGCCGCCAAAAACCTCTGCCGCCTGCTCCTGCAATGCCCTAGTGAACGTGTCGAAATAGGCGTCTGGCTTGCCACTCCGAAGCGCCTCTTTAAGAGTCTCGCTGCCGTCTTCCACAGCCTGAGTCGCACGGTCCAGGAAGATTTTACGGGCCTCCAGGGACCTCATAGCCTCAACGTTCCAGTAGATACGGTCCCTAGGAAGCGCTGCACGAGACATAACCCCCCAGCGGAAATTACAATGTAGGGGTACATGATCGCGAGGATGCCGAGAGGGGATAAGCTGATGCTTTCTCATCAGACCCTTCAGGGGTCCTCCCGAGACCACGAGATCAGCGGCCGCCGCGGGGCCGACGATATAGCTTACTCTGCTACTGGAATTGTCATTGCCGAACCAGGTGTCCTCCAGCTTCTCTCGAAATCCCAGAAACAACAACACCGAATTCATCCAGAAGTTCCCGAACAAGTTCCCCAGCTCCCCCAGCAAGATGTTATTTAGACGCAAGCTGCTCCGAAACCGAATTCGTGTTGTTGTACACCCAGGCCCCCTCCACCTTCGAGACTCCGATCCCGTCAGTCAAACCAAGACAGAGTAGGGGAAGATCACGAGAGTGGTGGGCAAGCTCACCGAAGACGCCTCGAAGCCACGAGACTAGCTTTGTGACCGCGGCGAAATAATTTGGCCTACCCTGAACTCCTCGAGGTCGAGGGGGGAAGTACGCAGCGATCATTGCGAGATCCACACCAGGGCGCTTGATGCGAACTCCCAGCCCACGACCAGCTAGTGACGGGGGAGGCAGCCAATGTCGAACGATGTGCGACTCCCGCAGCCCACAGCTCAAAGTCATCGAAATTCCCATTGAACGATCGGTGAACGGTCCGCGCCCATAGCTTGCTTCCAAGAGGAGCATCCCGTGTATCTTCCGCTTCTCCAAGGGCATGTCGGGCTTGGCGCGCTGCTGAGTGCCAACAAAGATGCTTACGTGGAAGGACTTGGCAGTCATAGTAATCACCTCCTCTTGACGAGCAGCGGAGTTGAAACTGAGAGGATTCCAATCCAATATTCTGAGAGACAGGAAGCTGGCCACGCGCGGCGGACAAGCAGCGCAGCCGAGAGTGTAGAGTACAGTCAGCACATAGTGTGTGTCTTCATTACATATGGAAGGGTGGGGGGCCTGAATGTTGTGCTCGCTCCACCTGAGGAGAAGGAGGAGGAGTAGGAGGAGGAGCAGGAGGAGGAGCAGGAGGAGCAGGATAGGATAAGAAAGGGTAAGTGTGGATAGGAGGGCTAGAGCAGCGCGCCGCAGGACGACGCTCGCCTCTGCGGGGGCAGCTACGACTGCTCGGGGACCCAGCCTGGCGGCTATTGCTTTGGGCGCCGCGGGTCGATATGAAACGCCATGCAATGCAGGGGTCCTGTGGGGAAGGGTGTCCTGGAGTTCTGTCGCCAGTTTCGGGTTCTGGGAGCGTCAAACAACGGCTTAGGAACTAGAGTTGGTGTTTGGCCCAGGATCCCCGTTCCTTTCAGGATCCGTGCGGGCTACATGAATTGAGAAAACAACAACTGCACAGACATCAATTTTCCGACGTCCGCGTGGATCGGTTTTGGACCCCGTTTGGCGGCGCCTCCAGCGCCGACCCAAGAATTCCGCGCGGACCTTCGAACGTTTAGGTTGGTGCGTTTTTTTTGTTCTGAGGTCCCGACTGTTCTCGTTGTTTTCGGACCTGACGGGGCCGTTGCCTCTCGGGCTCTGGGCCTACCAGAATCGGACTCAGGATGTCAGGCCAGTTCAGGGGGAAGCCCCGGGGTCAAGGATCAATATCCCTCACGACTCCCCTCCTTCATGGCTCCTCTTCCTCGAGCTTCGGATTTAAAGTAATTCGCTCGTTTTGGAAACCCTGGGGCGTTCTCATCGCCACAGCTTGACCCGCCTCGAGACAGTCGGGTCAGAACAAGCCGCAGAACAGGTCTGGTGGACGGTATTGCAGGAGTTCAAACCTGGAGCTCCAAAGAGAAGGGGGAGGAGGAGGGGATGCTCTTTTGGAGGGGCTTCGGACTAGCCAACCTCCAGGCATCGCGAAGCAAAGCACGGCGTCCGTTTTTTTTCCCAACCCTCCTGCGTTGGGTTCTCGGTTTGAATAGAGCACTGCTCGCGCGAACCTTCCTTCCTTCCCGTCCCTCTCTTCCCCCCTGCCTTTGACCTCGCCATCCCTGGGGGGCTGCGATCTGTGAAACTATCGCCACTTTCGAGGGCTGCTGAGGGGCCCAGCACAGTGGGTACCCACCGCAGACTCAAATTAGACCTCGCCATCCCTGGGGGGCTGCGATCCGTGAAACAGTCGCCACTTTCGAGGGCTGCTGATGGGGCCCAGCACAGTGGGTACCCACAGCAGACTCAAATTAGACCTCGCCATCCCTGGGGGGCTGCGATCTGTGAAACTGTCGCCACTTTCGAGGGCTGCTGAGGGGGCCCAGCACAGTGGGTACCCACCGCAGACTCAAATTAGACCTCGCCATCCCTGGGGGGCTGCGATCTGTGAAACTGTCGCCACTTTCGAGGGCTGCTGAGGGGCCCAGCACAGTGGGTACCACCGCAGATTCAATTAGACCTCGCCATCCCTGGGGGGCTGCGATCTGTGAAACTGTCGCCACTTTCGAGGCTGCTGGGGGGCCCAGCACAGTGGGTACTTCAAATTAGACCTCGCCATCCCTGGGGGGCTGCGATCTGTGAAACTGTCGCCACTTTCGAGGCCTGCTGGGGGGCCCAGCACAGTGGGTACCCACCGCGGACTCAAATTAGACCTCGCCATCCCTGGGGGGCTGCGATCTGTGAAACTGTCGCCACTTTCGAGGGCTGCTGGGGGCCCAGCACAGTGGGTACCCACCGCAGACTTTCAAATTAGACCTCGCCATCCCTGGGGGGCTGCGATCTGTGAAACTGTCGCCACTTTCGAGGCCTGCTGGGGGGCCCAGCACAGTGGGTACCCACCGCAGACTCAAATTAGACCTCGCCATCCCTGGGGGGCTGCGATCTGTGAAACTGTCGCCACTTTCGAGGGCTGCTGGGGGGCACAGCACAGTGGGTACCCACCGCAGACTCAAATTAGACGCCGCTTTCGTCCTTGTTCTCCTCCTGCAGTCACCTTCCCTCTGCTGCTGCCGTGTTTATGGTTCGGCTACCCGCACGTTTTTCTCCTGCTCTGCGTTCCCGGCTCCCCATGTCCTTTTCGAGCTTGTAGTTGTCGCCCCTGGTTCTTGTATGGTTCTTCTGCGCATCATGTCATAGGCGCGTGTCCCAAGTAGCTTACACATCAAGTTGATTGTCCATGCAAGTTTCGGCCAACTCCTCGTTTCCATTGATACAAATGTGTTGGATACGTCACAGGGTAATTCCCAACCCTCCTGCGTTGGGTTCTCGTTTTGAATAGAGCACAGCTCGCGCGAACCTTCCTTCCTTCCCGTCCCTCTCTTCCCTCCTGCCTTTGACCTCGCCCCCCCCTGGGGGGCTGCGATTTGTGAAGCTGTCGCCACTTTCGAGGGCTGCTGAGGGGCCCAGCACAGTGGGTACCCACCGCAGATTCAAATTTGACCTCGCCATCCCTGGGGGCTGCGATCTGTGAAACTGTCGTCACTTTCGAGGGCTGCTGGGGGGCCCAGCACAGTGGGTACCCACCGCAGACTCAAATTAGACCTCGCCATCCCTGGGGGGCTGCGATCTGTGAAACTGTCGCCACTTTCGAGGGCTGCTGAGGGGCCCAGCACAGTGGGTACCCACCGCAGCAGACTCAAATAGACCTCGCCATCCCTGGGGGGCTGCGATCTGTGAAGCTGTCGCCACTTTCGAGGGCTGCTGAGGGGCCCAGCACAGTGGGTACCCACCGCAGACTCAAATTAGACCTCGCCATCCCTGGGGGGCTGAGATCTGTGAAACTGTCGCCACTTTCGAGGGCTGCTGAGGGGCCCAACACAGTGGATACCCACCGCAGATTCAAATTAGACCTCGCCATCCCTGGGGGGCGGCGATCTGTGAAACTGTCGCCACTTTCGAGGGCTGCTGAGGGGCCCAGCACAGTGGGTACCCACCGCAGACTCAAATTAGACCTCGCCATCCCTGGGGGGCTGTGATCTGTGAAACTGTCGCCACTTTCGAGGGCTGCTGAGGGGCCCAGCACAGTGGGTATCCACCGCAGACTCAAATTAGACCTCGCCATCCCTGGGGGGCTGCGATCTGTGAAACTGTCGCCACTTTCGAGGGCTGCTGAGGGGCACAACGCAGTGGGTACCCACCGCAGACTCAAATTAGACCTCGCCATCCCTGGGGGGCTGCGATCTGTGAAACAGTCGCCACTTTCGAGGGCTGCTGAGGGGCACAGCACAGTGGGTACCCACCGCAGACTCGAATTAGACGCCGCTTTCGTCCTTGTTCTCCTCCTGCAGTCACCTTCCCTCTGCTGCTGCCGTGCTGATGGTTTGGCTACCCGCACGTTTTTCTCCTGCTCTGCGTTCCCGACTCCCCATGTCCTTTTCGAGCCTGTAGCCGTTGCCCCTGGTTCTTGTATGGTTCTCCTGCGCATCATGCCATAGGCGCGTGTCCCAAGTAGCTACACATCAAGTTGATTGTCCATGCAAGTTTCGGCCAACTCCTCGTTTCCATTGATACAAATGGGCTGGGTACGTCACAGGGTAATTTGTTATATATATGTGTGTGTATATATATAATTTTTATTATTCTTTTGTTCCCAACCCTCTTATGGTTGGGTACTCGTTTTGAATAGAGCAGTGTGGTCGCCCCGTCCTCCTCCTCCTCCTCCTCCTCCTCCTCCTCCTCCCCTCTCCTCCTCTCAGCCTCTTCCTCTGCTGTTTCCTGTGTTCCGCTCTCCTCTTCTCTCGTGCCGTCGGGCTTGCGATCTGCGCAACCGTCGCCACTTTCGTGGGCTCCTGGGAGGCCCGGCGGAGGTGGGTCCCACGCGGATCACCTCGGTAGCTGGCCGCCCCCTGGGGGGCTTGCGATCTGCGCAACTGTCGCCACTTTCGTGGGCTCCTGGGAGGCCCCGCGGAGGTGGGTCCCACGCGGATCACCTCGGTAGCTGGCCGCCCCCTGGGTAGCTTGCGATCTGCGCAACCGTCGCCACTTTCGTGGGCTCCTGGGAGGCCCAGCGGACGTGAGTCCCACGCGGATCACTTCGGTAGCTCGCGGCGCCCTGGGGGGCTTGCGATCTGCGCAGCAGTCGCCACTTTCGTCGGCTCCTGGGAGGCCCAGCGGAGGTGGGTCCCACGCGGATCACCTCGCCCCTGGGGGGCTTGCGATCTGCGCAATTGTCGCCATTTTCGTGGGCTCCTGGGAGGCCCAGCGGCGGTGGGTCCCACGCGGATCACCTCAGTAGCTCGCCGCCCCCTGGGTGGCTTGCGATCTGCGCAACTGTCGCCATTTTCGTGGGCTCCTGGGAGGCCCAGCGGAGGTGGGTCCCACGCGGATCACCTCGGTAGCTGGCCGCTTGCGATCCGCGCAATTGTCGCCACTTTCGTGGGCTCCTGGGAGGCCCAGCGGAGGTGGGTCCCACGCGGATCACCTCGGTAGCTCGCCGCCCCCTGGTGGGCTTGCTATCTGCGCAGCAGTCGCCACTTTCGTGGGCTCCTGGGAGGCCCAGCGGAGGTGGGTCCCACGCGGATCACCTCGGTAGCTCGCCGCCCCCTGGGTGGCTTGCGATCTGCGCAACCGTCGCCACTTTCGTGGGCTCCTGGGAGGCCCGGCGGAGGTTGGTCCCACGCGGATCACCTCGGTAGCTGGCCGCCCCCTGGGGGGCTTGCGATCTGCGCAACCGTCGTCACTTTCGTGGGCTCCTGGGAGGCCCAGCGGAGGTGGGTCCCACGCGGATCACCTCGGCAGCTCGCCGCCCCCTGAGGGGCTTGCGATCTGCGCAACAGTCGCCACTTTCGTGGGCTCTTGGGAGGCCCCGCGGAGGTGGGTCCCACGCGGATCACCTCGGTAGCTGGCCGCCCCCTGAGGGGCTTGCGAGGGACCAGGGTTTTCCCAAACCAAACGGGTCTTCCCAAACCAAATGTTGCGGAATCAGACCGCCGGGTCTTCCCAAACCAAACCCGGGTCTTCCCAAACCAACCCGGTCTTCCCAAACCAACGCCCCCGGGTCTTCCCAAACCAACCGGGTCTTCCCAAACCAACTCTCCGGGTTTTCCCAAACCAACCGGGTCTTCCCAAACCAACCTCCGGGTTTTCCCGAACCAACCGGGGTCTTCCCAAACCAACTCCCCGGGTCTTCCCAAACCAAACGGGTCTTCCCAAACCAACCGGGTCTTCCCAAACCAACCTCCGGGTCTTCCCAAACCAACCGGGTCTTCCCGAACCAACTCCCCGAGTCTTCCAAAACCAAACGGGTCTTCCCAAACCAAACCCCCGAGTCTTCCCAAAACAAACCCGGGTCTTCCCAAACCAACCGGGTCTTCCCAAATCAACCGCCAGAGTCTTCCCAAACCAACCGGGTCTTCCCAAACCAACCGGGTCTTCCCAAACCAACCGGGTCTTCCCAAACCAACACCCAGGTCTTCCCAAACCAACCTGGTCTTCACAAACCAAACCGGGTCTTCCCAAACCAAAACCTGGGAGACCCAAGCCAAGTTTGGTTTGGGAAGACCCGTTTGGTTTGGGAAAGACGCCCCTCCGGGGCTTGCGATCTGCGCAACTGTCGCCACTTTCGTGGGCTTCTGGGAGGCCCCGCGGAGGTGGGTCCCACGCGGATCACCTCGGTAGCTGGCCGTCCCCTGGGGGGCTTGCGATCTGCGCAACCGTCGTCACTTTCGTGGGCTCCTGGGAGGCCCAGCGGAGGTGGGTCCCACGCGGATCACCTCGGTAGCTCGCCGCCCCCTGGGTGGCTTGCGATCTGCGCAACCGTCGCCACTTTCGTGGGCTCCTGGGAGGCCCAGCGGAGGTGGGTCCCACGCGGACCACCTCGAGACCTCGCCGCCCCTTGGGGCGCTTGCGATCTGCGCAACCGTTGCCACTTTCGTGGGCTCTTGGGAGGCCCGGCGGAGGTACGTCCAACGCGGACCACCTTGGGACCTCGCCGCCCCCTGGGGGTCTTGCGATCTGCGCAACTTTCGCCACTTTCGTGGGCTCCAGGGAGGCCCCGCGGAGGTGGGTCCCACGCGGATCACCTCGAGACCTCGCGGTGCCCTGGGGGCTGCGATCTGCGCAACTGTCGCCACTTCCGTGGGCTCCTGGGAGGCCCAGCGGAAGGACGTCCCACGCGGACCACCTCGAGACCTCGCGGCGCCCTCGGGGGGAAGGGGCTGCGATCTGCGCAACAGTCGCCACTTTCGTGGGCTCCTGGGAGGCCCAGCGGAGGCACGCCCCACGCGGACCACCTGGAGACCTCGCGGCGCCCAGGAGGGCTGCGATCTGCGCAATTGTCGCCGCTTTCGTGGGCTCCTGGGAGGCCCAGCGGAAGTACGTCCCACGCGGACCACCTTGGGACCTCGCCGCCCCCTGGGGGGCTTGCGATTTGCGCAACTTTCGCAACTTTCGTGGGCTCCTGGGAGGCCCGGCGGAGGTTGGTCCCACGCGGATCACCTCGAGACCTCGCGGCGCCCTGGGGGGCTGCGATCTGCGCAACAGTCGCCACTATCGTGGGCTCCTGGGAGGGCGGAGGTACGTCCCACGCGGACCATCTCGAGAACTCGCGGCGCCCTGGGGTGCTGCGATCTGCGCAACTGTCGCCACTTTCGTGGGCTCCTGGGAGGCCCAGCAGAGGTACGTCTTACGCGTTGCCGCTGCTCTTCTTGCTGCGCTCTTCTGAGTTCACTGATGGGTGCTCTTCTTCTGCACTGCGTTTTTTTCAGCGTTTTTTTGTCCAGAAGAACTTCTTCACGCACTACGACTTTTTCGAATGCCACCAGCAATGCTCCAGATGGTTGAAGGTATATACAGGGCTCGAACATTTGTTGTGAAACATGGAGATTCTACGACATTCAGCAGAACGCAAGCAGCGGGAATAGCGCAAGGCTGTCCTTTGTCGCCGTACTTGTTTATCATAGTTATGTCAGTATTACTGCAGATAGTCGATCAGGAAATGATTGGACACTCCGGACGTGCTTTACGCCGACGACACAATGTTGGTGGCAGAAAAAGCCAGAGTACCTCCAGGAGCATTTGAACGCAGTCGTCCGGATTGGGAGGACTTTTGGTTTGGACCTGAACGTGGGCAAAACCATATTTCTCCGGATTAGGTCCGAGGCGAACATACAAGGACCGGACGGCGAATTCATCCCGTGCCAAAGCAGTGCCGTCTATTTGGGCGGGCTCCTGAGCGTCGACGGCCAGCCAATGAGTAAGTTGACCAAGCGCCTGGGTGAGGCAAAAGGAGCTTTTGAGAACATCCGCTCTGTGTGGAGCCACGCCAATTCAAGCAAGCAGCGCAAGATGAAGGCTTTAGAGGCGTGCGTCTTTTCCAAATTGCTCTATGAACCATGCATGCTGTTGCAAGCAGACCGGGCGAAGCTAGATGCTTTCCAAGCGCGGTGTCTCAGGAGAATTGTCAAGATCGCCCCTGCATATTTTTCTCGCGTCAGCAACGCTAGCGTTTTAAATTGTGCAGGTGCGCAGAGACTGTCCGACTTATTGCTGCAACGCCAATTGCTCTTGTACGGCCGGCTCGCCCGTGAACCCACGAGCAGCTTGCCAAGACGCATGCTTTTTGCAATTGGTGTCCATAACAATCTGATCCCCAGATCTTGGGGGAGCGCTCGTGTGAGAGGCCGGCCACGTCTGCAATGGAGAAATTATGTACATTCCCGAGCCTTGGAAGTTTCAGGGGGGAACCCCGACAGGCTCCAGGAGCTCTTAGGGAACGAAGTGCAATGGCATGCTGCCGTCACAAGATGGTGCAAGTAGAAATGTGTTGGTTGTTTCCTCTTCTCCTTCTTCCCTCCCTCCTCCCTCCCTCCCTCCCTCCCTCCTTCCTCCCCTCCTCGCCGCGGATTGCCCGCAGGTCAACGCATCGCCTTCCATTCGGTACAAAGTTTGCCAATTGTGTGCAACCGAGCCGCCTGCAGCGCAGTCCATGATTTTAGCTATTTCTGCATGTGCCTGGCTACGCCATCACCTGCCGCAGTTCTCTTGCCAATGCGCCGTCTGCGCGCGGCTTCTCTGTCTGTTTGTCTGTCCGTCAGCATTGAGTGGTCCCGAATGTAACCACCACATGTATAGAAAGAGTTGGGTACGTCGCAGGGTTTTTTTTTGGGGGGGGGTCCGAAGGTGGGCATCAACTTATCAGAGAAACCAAACACAACAGCCCGTACTGGATGCTGAGGTGCTACATGCCCATCGCTGGAATTGCAGCAGCTTTTAGTGCAGCGGCGTCTGTCTGTCTGCCTGCCTGCCTGCCTGTCTGTCTGTCTGTCTGTCTGCCTGCCTGTCTGTCTGTCTGTCTGTCAGTCTGTTTGTCTGCCTGTGTGTGTGTGTGTCTGTTTGTATGCCTGCCTGCCTGTCTGTCTTCCCTCAGCATTTGTTCGCATCACGTGGCCGCAGCCGTTGCTCAGGGGCGGAGCGCGTCATCCTTGAAAACTTACCGGAGCCGTGAGCGTTAGGAAGCTCATCGCAAACTTGTTTTCCCTTTCCTGGCCTACCCTCCCTTGCGGCGCGGGAGTTCCGTGGGCGCGCTGCCGCCAGGCACCTCGAGGACAACAATCCAAAGTTCGTGCCGAAGTTCGACGGCGGCAGCGACATGCGACGCTGGGGGGTTGACGGTTGTAGGAGCGGGGCGGCGGGGAGATTGGAGGCGTTGGGTGGGGAGCCGAAAAGTGGGAGCAGGGGGGGGATGAAGATCGAGGTAAATGGAGAGCGTTTGTGTTTGTTTGTTTGTCTCTCTCTCTCTCTCTCTCTTTCGCTCCACTGTTCCTTCAGTGGCTCTGAGCCCAGTTTGTGGACCACTGTTGCTTCTGTGTCTGAGCCTAGCTCTCTGGAGCTTACCAGACGTCCCTAGATGCGTTTGGAGGCTTCGGGCTGGATCAAGAACGCTGAGGAACCACGTGTTCTCGATCCTCGATCCTCGAGGAAGACGGAGGAGGACGACCGAGGAGGGATCAGCAAGGGGGAGCAGAACGGGGGAAAGAGAGACCCCTTCCTCGCTCTCCCCCTCCCGGAGGAGGCGGAGGAGGAGGAGGAGGAGTGTCCTTGCCCTTGGCGCTCCTGTCTTGGGGTGCCCAACGGGTGCGCCTTCTATATCTCGATGAAAAGTGGATGTTTCAGGGGCAGGCATAGGAAAACCGCCTGAGACATCTTCTGAACTCGCTTGTGAAGCAAAGGCTGTTGGGCAGGCAAACAGGCACACCGCTGGAGACATCCCCTCAATCTGGGCGCTTGGCGCCCCCCCCCCATATTGGGAATGCTGGAACCAGCGCCTCGCCTATGACATCCTCGGAATCAGCTCCGAAAGCAAAAGGGTGTCGGGCATGTAATGAAGCAGGCCGCTGGGGGCATCCCCACAATGTGGGCGCGAATCCTGGAGAGTGTCCCCGCCCTTTGGCGCCCCCGCCTGGGGGTGCCCAAGTGGTACAGTTGCTATATCGCGGTGATCATTGGACCATCAATGAGTATGAGTGAGTCTGAGGTTGAGCATGCGAGGAATACGAGTGCGGGTCAGTGAATGAGTCGAAATGTGAGTGAGTCTAAGTGAGAGTGATCTTGCACGTTCTGAGTCTGAATGTGAGTGAGTCTGATCATGAGTAAGTTTGACGGTGACTGCGTCTGAGTGTGAGTGAGTCAGTGTACGGGTGAGTCTGAGTGTGAGTGAGTCTGAATGTGAGTCAGTGTGAGTCTGATTGAGTAGGAGTGTGGCTGGGTGTTAGTAAGCCACTCTGGTTTTTGAGGATGAGGAGGAATATGAGGAATTGAGATTTTCGGAGCCGCTTGAATAATATCAAGAGCCGCATCTTAGTATATAGGGAAGAGTTTGCGCCGACATACACGTAAACCTTTTCAGTTTCACGTGGGCTTCTGGAATCGGCGCTGGTCTCCCTCGCTTGGCGCGCGGAGCGCGCCGGGGGCCGCGCCAGATGCGCTGACTGGGGGCAGCGCCGATCCAGCAAAATCTTCGTGGATCTTCGCACTTGGTTATGTTCTTTGCTCCTCGAGATAACCACCATCTGTCTAGGCCTGTTTCTGTGTAAATGTAGGGGCTGCTAGTTCGTTGCTGATCCTTGCCAACTTTTGTGCTCAACATCTGACTCGGTTTACTTTCCCTTCGGATTCCAGCGACGACGCAGTTGCTCATGTTACGCACCGTGACTTTGCGTATTTGCGAGGTCATAGGCGGACCAGTGAGAGGTTGCGAGTGGCGTTCGTATAATTTATGTATGCCCCACCATATTTTTCCTTTTTCGTACCCTCCGCTCTCCTGGTTCTTGTTATGTTTGCCAGGCGAGGCCATCCTTGGTGTGAGGGCTCTGAGCCCATGAAGCACCCCGGGAAGCCCGAGACAGACTTCATGCACGCCCACCCTGCTCGGCAATTGAGACTTGGTATGTATGACCATGATCGTCACAAGGGTGATGAGGAAGAGGATGAGTAGGAGGAGGAGGAAGAAGAGGTGGAGGAGGTGGAGGAGAAGGGAGGACGAGGAACAACGAGGAAACCATCTTGCGGCTCTTCAAGCATGCCACAGGAGGCGCCCATTGTGATGATAACGTGCTTTGTACTGTCAAGCAGTGGAGGAGGAGGAGGAGGAGGAGGAGGAGGAGGAGGAGGAACATGAGAAGGAGGAGGGGGAGGAGGAGAAGGAGGTGCTGGGAGGAGGAGAGAGAAATAGAGTAGGACAACGAGGGTCAGGAAGGGAGAGCACCCGAGGTGGAGGAAGAGGAGCAGGATGAGGGAACGACGGATGAAGAGATGATGAAGAGGAGGAAGAGGAGGAAGAGGAGGAAGAGGAGAAGGTGGACCAACATACCTAATCAGTACACCATGTAAATGTTTGACGCGCCAAGGATTGCAGGATGGCGATGATTCGTCGTCACGTCGTGCACCAGGCGGTGCGTGGTGAGACCAGTGTGCCCAATCTCATGCTTGGATGGCGCTCCTCAACATGCGCCCCCCTCACGCCAGTGGAGGAGGCAGTATCGGCGGCATTGTTGGCGCCACTCACATGAAGTTATAACTGCCAACGAACCTGCGACCGCATCTTACCAAAGCGGAGGCCTTCATTGCTGCTCCCCCTCCTCGCCCTCCTCGACCTCATTCTCCTCCTCCTCCTCGTCCTCCTCCCCATCCGTAGCCATTTTGGCTCAAGTGGGAACAGGTCCCAATTTGGGCGCAATCTGGGTGTCGAGCTCAGGCGGACACGAATTCCTTTCTGTCTTGCACGACGGGGCAGATTTCCCCAACAAATCTCAGTTTCTGCAATGGCCGAGACTGCGCAGCTCTTTGCTTCGTTTTAGACCAGCCTCAATGGGAAGATGACGGGCCTCGCTTCCGCGGTGAAAAAAAGACTGGCTGACCAGCATGCTCCACTGGCAGGTCTAGCAGACACTGTCAACACTCTTTCCGAGGTGCTTAAGGCCCAGCGGAGCGAGATTGCCGAGTCCAAATCCAAGCAGGAGCAGTTGCCTCCGTACGCGGCGGTAGCAGCTTCGTGTGTACCATCAGGGGCGAGCAGTGCGAGTGGCGGCACATCGTCAAAACATAGCAGAGTTGGAGGGGGCCCAGCTGAACATTTGCAGGACCAGAATAGGAAGCGGCGCTGGATGGGGACATTCCCACGACGTTTCACCGAAAAGCAGCGGAGGGAGCACTACGAGCAGATCGTAGAGCCCAAGCTCCCGCAGCACATAGGGGACTCCGTGGCGGTCACGGTTTCGAGGGCGGGCAAGCGCTACGGCTTTACCCTCGCCAGTGAGCTGCAGGCCAGGGAGTTCAGCAACCTGCTTCGAGATCGTGATCTTCCATGGACGGATCCCAGGGACGGCCGTGCGCACAAGGTGTACCCGAGGGGTGACATGCTGATCGACGCGCGCCAGCGCCAGGGGGCGGCCAGCAAGGTGTACGAAGGTGATGACTTTGCTCCGCAATGGGGGCGAGGACCTGGCATGCTTCAGGCTCGGAGTGAACGGCTATCAGGGGCTGGTGCGCTACGCGTCCAGCGACGAGGTCTTCGATGTGGTGCACGTCGCGGGCGGCGAGGAGATAAGCTTCACATTCGCTTCTGTCCTCTCGAGCTTCGCCGTGTTCAACGTGCCCTGTTCTCATTGCGCATGTTGTACAGGTCACTCCACCTCACCCAGGGCCTCCTAGGTGTTCCCCATCCGCGCCCTTCCTTCCTTTCCATGGTCCTCGTAGGCTGGTGTCTTGGAAAGCGCATACCTTGTTTGGATCTGTCTGGGCGTCCAGAGAGAATGCTCGAGGAACTTACTACGCTGTTCGGAGGTTAGCGGCCAGTTGTGAGAGTGTTCTCACCCAGGAGACTCATGGGCATCTAGGGAATTTGGAGAAATGTCAGAATTTGGACATGTGGTGCGCTTCTACAGATGGACCCTCTGCGGTGTGTGTGTGTGACTATGGTGCACGAGCGGATTGCTCGTTACCCTGGCTCAGTCGTCTTCTCCGAACTGGAAGATCAGGCTGGGGGGCCTGCTGATCCAGGGCGGCTTTCTCATCTCGCACTCTCGTTCGACTGCGGCTCGCTCCACGTCTCCAGCATCCACCTCGGCCCCTCCTACTCCCTCACCAAGGCTAAGGACATCATCAGCGCTACCTCTGCTCATCTTTCCCCTCCGCACCTGGCCGCGTCCGTTCTTGCTGGCGACTTTACTTTGCTGCCGTTGGAGAGGGCCGATTGAGGCTCGCTGATTCATTCCGGGAAATGGGCCCTGCTACCTTGGGGAGGCACACCGATCTCGTTTTCCCGTGCCTGGCTGAGATAGAACAACCTGAATATACTCATTAATCATATCAAGCTGACGACCATGGGGTGCCGACATCTCTCGGCCGTAATGACCGCATCTACATGACTACTCCTACCTGCGACATCCTGGACTTCAGCGCTGTGTCTGGGACGTATTGGGATGTTCTCCAACCTGGCAGTGTTAGCGATCATGCCCCAATGTTTATTGGTCTGTATCTGACCCCTCCCCCTGCGAGGTCTGCTATTCCTGGGTGGATTGTTCGTTCTGGTGAATTTGGGGAGATCCTGAGGGCCCTGGTGGAGGAGCACGATCTCCCGCCTTTTCCTGTGGAGGCCTTGGAACCCATCGAAGGCCCCATGCGCGTTGCGTCCAATCGGACCCAACGCATCTTGGAGAAATGGGGCCCTAGGAGTGCTCCCGAACAGGTGGCCTGGTGCCTTGCTCTTGTTCGAGCCCACCGCCGTGGCCAGGCGGTCGTGGTCGATGGGGCTTGTCGTGCATTCCGCGTCTCTCGGATTACGTCCAGCTCGGCTGTAGGGGCGCCTTTCCCGAGTTTAACAAGTTTCTCTGCCGGATGAGGCGGGCCCAATCTGACAGTGGGGACAGGTGGGCTACGGGGCATGAGGAGATGACGGGGGCGCGGAAGAACAGCCGCCTCGTGCGTGTGCGTTTGCTTGCCGCTGCATGGGCACCGAGACATCGGAGGGTCTTCCTTCGACGCATCATCTCAGATGACGGCGGGGCTCCTGTCAGCCCTGAAGGAAGTGCTCGTGCTCTGGCTGCTCGCTGGGGGGGGGGGGCGCTGGGCGCCCATGGCCCTCTGCGCCCGAATGCGTTCACGAAGTCGACCCATTCATTGAACCTATCGCCGAAACCGCCGCCTGGGCGCTCTCGAGGGGCCAGTTATGTGAGCTCGCGCGGAGGAAGCGCGATTCGGCTCCTAGAATGGGGCACCTCATGGTGCTTGGAAAAACGGGGGAGAGCATGTTTTGGAGCACTTGTACCGTTTGTATCGATTCATGTGTATATATATATATATATATATATATATATATCTATGTATATGTAGAATGGTGGGGAGGTGGGCGACGATTTCAATGTCGCGTTCGCGGTTTTCTCGCCGAAGGGCGATGGCGAACGCGGCGATGACTGCGGAAAAGACAGGGCGTCAGGGAAGACGCGGCCGCCAGCGTTATCAAATGCCGATAACGAGATCATATCATGTGCCATTGCTTCTCCTATTTCGCACTCTGCTAGCATCGCGGTTGACAGAATTCAGGAAAGGGTTCCTCGCGGGGTGTGGCATGATGGACCGCGTCATCTCGATTGATTCGCAGATGATGCTTTGGACACGGCTGAGCAACCTAGTGCACGCGGGCGCCGCTTTCTGCGACGTCGAGGCTGCATATCCCTAGTTTGCGCGCTGCTTCATGTTCTATTGTTGATGGTTGCAGAAGGCGTGCTGCGCGCCGTCCGCCTTTGTTCTGGTGGTTGACCCTGTGATTCGCTTCTTCGGGCTCGGAAGTTTTAAATCGTTCATAACGACAGGTGCCTTGGAGTTGTGCTTGGACTTGGGGCCACAAAAGACGGGCGCGGCAAATTCGCTCCATGTCGCTCTCGTTTCCCCTCAGCATCCTCGCTTGCAGCACCTTCGTCTTCCCTGTCTTCAGTTTCGTCTCCTAAGTGCGACCGGTGCTTCCGATGGTGGTGGCCGCCCAGTGAGAGGCGACCCAACTTTTGACTGCGGGGCCCTTCAACGCCATCCCGCCAGCACTGATGTTCCAGCTCAAGGAAGTAGGCTATATGGTGGCATGTAATAGCATTGTGACGTGGGGGAGAGCGGCGGCATATAGGACGTCGAAGCGGAGCTCGGCATTTTAGGACGAGTTTGAGGATGTCCTTAATAGTGCTGGCTATATTACCGCATATGAGTATCATCTGTTTTACAAGGTGTAGCAATGGCTATCGAAATCAGGTGTAGTGTTATCAACTCCCTTCGTGTAAGGGGCAGCGTCTTTCATTAAGCAGTTCGTTGAAGCTCGGGCTAGGTCCTTGGGTCAATTATTTAGGCGAGCTGGTCTCCTCCTGAAGGGCCAGCCTCTCTAATCAGGGGAAGCATCCAATTCGGAATCGTGTGTCAGGATGGTGGACGGGTTCTCTCCCCTTCGCGTTCTTGTCCGCTTGCCCTCTTGCCTTTGTCCCTTGCTCGCGTCGTGTCCGCTCTCTCCCTTGTGTAGTGTGGCTCATCCTCCTGCCCATTCCCCATTTCCGCTGTCCTCTTTCTCCCCCGTCTCCCTCGCCCAGAGCAGAGCCGAAACCCAGCAAGTGCGCGGGCTTGTGAGGGCATGTCCGCCAATTGCGAAGCCACCTCTTGCCAAACGTCTCGCGCTCAGCCATCGTGTGAGAAAGGAACGTGTGACGGGAGCTGTGAAGAAAGGTCGTGCGGCCCATCGGGACCCGCGGATGCAGGTTGACCTTGACCAATATTGGCTTGAACCATACACGGCTACTGCTGCTGCAAGGCACCCTCCCGTCCCAAGGCCCGTTCTCGTAAGTTGCCGTCCATTTCGGGGAAGTCCCCCCCCCTGATCGACGAACGTCCCCTGGGCCTGCCACTCAGGTGAGACCCCTGATGTGTACGGGATCCACCTTCCCTCCTTCCAGCCACACGCACAGCAAAGCGGTACAATCCACAAATTGAACGAGTTGTCCAGCGAGAGTTCCGTATTGAAAAAGATACGCCCTCCGTCCGCATCAGTGTTGCATTCTTTCAAGCTCATAGCAGTAAAATTGGAGGAAGCCTCAAGTGACAGCCAGGAGCCGCCCTCCGGCCGTGAAACTGTTGCATAAGTATGATTTCTGGGTCAACGAATATGTAGGAATGTTGATGTGAGAACCCCATTATGACAAAATGCCGTTGTGCAGTCAACATTGATAGTGAGGACGATCGACTTCCCAAGGGTACCCTCGCATCCTTGTCTCTTGGGTCATCTTCGGCCCATATTCAACCACTTTCGATGGCCAGCCCTGCTCGAAGAACCTCGGTCTGGGTGCCCAAGGCCCTTGCATCCTTATTGCGCATCCTTGCTATACGGGTTGACTGTATGTCCATGTCACGGTTGAGACTGTGAAAGGTGAGCTGGCGCAGCGCCAAGGCGAGAGCCCCATTTTGATGGCGAGGGGCCAGAGGCGAACACCCGATTTTGAAAGCCGCCAGCGTTCCATCCGCGTAACCGTCGGAGCTTCAAAGTCTCGATCTCATAAGTTGCGAGGACGTCTCAAGCGAAACGACTGGGCCCGCCGTAGCGATTCGACTGGTGGTGCGACATGGAGGGGTGACCCATAGGAAGCTGGATGGAGGCGGAGGAGGAGGAGGAGGAGGAGGAGGAGGAGGAGGAGGAGGAGGAGGGAGGAGGAGGAGGAGGAGGAGGAGGAGGAGGAGGAGAAGGGGGAATGATTTGATGACGACGATGACATGAGATGATGATGATGATGATGATGATGAATGATGATGATGATGATGATGATGATGATGATGGTGGGTGGTGGTGATGATTGATGATGATGATGATGATGGTGATGATGATGATGATGATGATGATGATGATGATGATGATGATGATGAGGAGGAGGAGGAGGAGGAGGAGGAGGAGGAGGAGAACAGCAGGAGCAGGAGGAACCATATCAGGGGGAGGAGAAGTGAGTCTGTGGTCGCGAAGCTTGGCTGGGGGCCCCGGTACAAGCCTTCAGTGCTGTGCACCGCCCCCCCCAGGGGCAACCGTTGTTGGGCCCGGGCGCCGAACAGCGGACGCTCTTTTGGCGATGATCACGAGGAGAAGGGGGACCCTGGGATCCAGCGTCACGAGACACTTTGCATCACCGTGAGCAATCACGACCCGAACCCTCGACCCCACCTTTCGGCGATCCTTGATTTGGATCGATTCGTGAGTCTCCCTGGGTTCGAAGCCAGGGAAGCGCCCAGAGTGAAAACATAGGACGCCCAGATCTCAGGGGAGGCGGTGGAGGAGGAGGAGGAGGCCGGGGAGGAGGGGGAGAAGGAGGATGAGGATGAGGACTCCCCCCCCGTCCCCAGAAGGGGGCCACAATCCTCGACCCGCCCTTCTCGATTTCGGAGTTGTGCACCGCGCGCGTCGCAGCCACTTCGACAACGTGGGCGCGGCGCTTCTGATCGTGTTCCAGAGCATGACGGTGGAAGGCTGGACCGTCATCATGCGCCCCCGCCCGCCTCGCCCTCGCCTTCCTCGCCCTCGCCCTCGCCGTCGCCCTCCTCGCCCTCTTCGCCCTCCTCGCCCTCCTCGCCCTCTCGCCCTCCTCGCCCTCGCCCTCGCCGGTGGAGTTCTGGACCGTCAACATGCGCCCTGCAATCGACCTTGCCCCAAGACGGAAGATTGACGGGCGGACGTCCTTACCCCCGTCGTGAGACCCCGAGCGCCCCTGGAGGGAGGCGGAAGAGGAGGATCGAGGGCTGTTTCGAATCGAGTGAGTGTGTGTGTGTGTGAGGCACCCACACCCCGGCCCCTTCCCAGGAAGAACAAGCCCGGTTTTCGGCCGAGCAGGGGCGTCGCAGTGACAATAGTATGGCGCAGCGGCTAGCCGAGCAGCGAGCTCTATGCTTCCAGGCGCTGTGTGACTCCCCGCTCCCCCCTGGGCACAGTGGGGATAGGCTGAGCGAAGAGTTTCTAGAGACGGCCACGGCGGTCCACCCCCAGATGTACGGCCTGGGCTTGTCAGTCACGACGGCTACCTGTTCAGCAACGAACTGGGCATCGACGCCTCCAATGTTGTTCGCGCAGCGGCGTGGGCAGGTCAACTGCACGTGGCAGGACTTCACCCGAGCACTGCTCCGAACCAGCCATTGAAGACGACCGCCTCCCCCCCCGGCGGGGGGAAGATCCAGTTTTCGATGGAACTGGAGCGCCGACCAATCCCCCGAAGGCACCGCAAGGCACCCCCCAGCGGCGTGGAGCACTAACACATGCGAGTGCAGTCGCTACCAGGGCGCCCCGTCTCTGCAGCACCTAGCAGCCCCCACCGACCAGCGGGATCGGCCGCTCGAAGGATCCTGCAACCTACTCAAGGACGGCATTGGGGCCACCATCCAGCGCACAAGGGCAAACACTGTGAACTGTACTCCATACGATGCGTTTTCAGAGGTGTTTCTGACAAACATGTTAGGACAACGACCCTCCCCCCAGCATGTAGCAGCAGGGTGTTCGCCTGGCGCCCTCTCGGAGCCCACGGGGCGAACACGAGCAGCAGTGTGTAAAGCAGGCGTGGCAGTTAGCAGCAAGCACCGTTGCCGTTTGAGCTCGAGAGGCCTCTCGACTGACCAAAATACTATCATCACTCTCCTCGTTTCCAGAGCGATAGCGAGTACGAGTGCGAAGACGATCTGGCAGTGATACGAGATCGGATTTCGATACCGAGTTCGACGACTTCGAGAGCGTCGAGCAATTCACATTGGTAGCTGGAGCGATCTATTCACGGACGACAGTTATCACCCATGGGACCGCCTGGCGGGGGACGCGGAGCGGCAGCAGCAACAGGACGAGATGACGGACAGTCGCCCGCAGGTTTCATCGGCAGAGCCCGGGGGTTTGACGGCTCGATCGATGGCTACAAGACGTTCAGGAAGAAGGTGGAGATCTTCGCAGCGAGAGCTCGCGGACGCGAGCAGGAGAAAGGAGTAGGGCTCGAGATAATGCAAGGCCTGTGTGGCCGAGCGTGGGAGGTGGTCGAGGACATCGAGATCGCACAGATCGAGAAGGAGAAAGGTTGGCAGACCATCATCGAGGCGCACGACCGGGCCTACAAATGCGATCGGATCACAGAGCCCCCGACGGATTTCGAGAATTTCTTTTTTTCAAAGCTGCTCGCAAGCCCAAGGAGACCCTGATGGACTACCTGGCGAGGTTTCGCACGGCGGAGAGGAAAGTGCGAGCTCATGATGTGACTCTTCCAGACAAGGTGCTTGGCTGGTTTCTGCTACGCAGGGCCGGGCTTGATAAGGAGGGCAATCAGCTGATCATGAATCAGGTTGGCGACAACCTGGCGTTGGATAAGGTCGAGAGCGAGATGAAGAAGATGTTCGGCCTGGACTCGATGCCGAGCTACAGGGCGAGTTCAGGGGCAGCGGCCTACAACGTGGACGACTACGAGGAGTTCGAGGAGCAGGACGACGTCTACTACGGCGTCGACGACGAGGAGCACTACTACGAAGAAGGCGGCGAGGATTCCCAAGATGCAGGCCCCAGCTTCGACGCAGAGGCGGCCTACTACAGCGAGGCGGCGGCGATCAACGCCCCCGCGCCGGACCAGGCGTTTGATGTGGACCAGTACGACGATATCATGGCAGCGTATACGGACGCAAGGCAGAAGATGAACGACATGAGGTTGGCCAGAGGTTTCTACCCAGTCGTAGCGATGGTACCGCCACCGACGAGGAGTACGGCACCTATCATCCCTTCTCGAGCTTCGGCCGCTGGCCGAGGTCGAGGTGCTGCGAGAGGCACGTCGCGAGGGAGAGCTACGGGACGAGCGACGGCTTCGAAGGGGCGCGGCAAGACGAATTTCGCGAGCAGCTACGGCAAGGGCGCAGCAGTACGCGGGCCACCTCATTCCCCACCGAGAGCGACAGAAGAGACGAGATGCCTACGATGCGGAGGCCGAGGGCGCTTCGCCAAGGACTGCCCCCACGCGAGCAGGAAGAGGCAGAACGTTGGCGACGACCACGCTGAGGCGCGGATGGTCACTGACGAGGTGGAGGACATATACAACTCAACGGATCTCGACCCAGCGGAGGCGATGCACGACAGTGGAGCGACCAGCGTGATCGTGGGACACGAGACGCTCAAGGGCTACTGCAAGCAGCTGGTCGCGAAAGGCTTTCCAGTCGACAAGATGAAGTTCTTCCCGTGCTCGAAGAGTTTCAGATATGGAAACGACTCGACCGGCGAGGCGACGGTGTGTGCAGTTGTTCCATCATTCCCTGGAGGCAAGTTTGTGGAGATTCTCACCTACGTTATCCCAGGTAACACGCCTTTCCTGTTCGCCAGGCCCGTGATGGAGGAGCTCGGTATGGTCGTGGACTTCAAGAACAAGAGGGCATGCTGGGACGGAGATGGTAAATGGTTTCAGCTACGCCAGCAGCCGCAGCGCGGACACTTCATCATCGACATGTTGGAGAGCTACGACAGTTGCATGAAGGATCGCGCCGACCAGACCCTGCTGCCGCACAATATGTTGGACCACGTTCGAGTGCAGCACCCGATTAGCCCCTGCACGTTTCTTGGCGACGAGGTGCTGGCGTACGAGCAGTCGGTAGACGTTATCGGCACGATGGTCGAGAGAGATAGCAAGGTCGACGCGACAGAGGCTAACAACTATATCGCAAAGGACCTCAACGTGAAGCAGTTGCGCAAGTGCCAGGAGTCCGTAGATATGGCCACCCAGGAGCTGAAGCAGGACCTGAGCAAGGCGAGGGGCATCCAGGAGGCCAAGCGCAAGATCTGGGAGGCCTACGGCGGCAATTCGGAGTTGACGAAGGAGCTGAGGAGGCGCGGACGTCAGGCAAGGACGTTTGGAGTGCACAACGGCTGGGACTTCAGCAAGACCGCTGCGCAGAAGAAGTTTCTCGACCTGGTCGACGAGGAGCAGCCGGGCGATATCTGGCTGAGCCCCGAGTGCAAGCTCTGGGCGCTGATGCAGGAGCGAGGCTGCAAGACGGACGAGGACAAGCAGAAGTTGAAGCAGCGGCGCTCGGACAATCACCGGACGCACCTGATGTTCTGCAAGCAGATCTACCTCAAGCAGTGGCAGGCTGGGCGAGACGCACACCTGGAGCAACCAGCGACGGCACGCAGCTGGAGGACGAAAGCGCTGTGCGAGTTGCCCGGGCACCATGTGCTTTTCGACCGGTGCATGGCGGGATTAGAGATTCCAGGAGAAGGCTTGGCTCGCAAAAGGACTGGAGTCCGCACGACACGACGAGGCATGGCAGAAGGATTCTACGAGTACCAGTGCGACAAGCAGCACGAGCACGTCCACCTGGAGGGCAATATTCCAGGCACCAGCCTGCACCGCGCGAGTTTCGCCGAGAACTACGGGCCCCTGCTTGCGCAGATCCTCAGCGACCTGCTGGAGCGGCCCCCGACTCAGGACTCAGACATGTTGGTGCTGGGCCTCGAGGAGGGCGAGGGCGCGGTGGAGTATATCTACCGCGCGACGGTGGACAGCAGCAGCAACGACCCGAAGGAGACGTGCCAGAACCGGCTGCTGAGGAGCGAGTTCGGCCAGAACGTGTTCAGGTATGTGGAGCGCCTCCACAAGAACCTGGGCCACCCCAGCACGGAGGTTTTCGTGCGAATGCTGGCGGCGGCGAAGGCGAGAGAGGAAGTGATAGCGTGTGCGAGGCGCTACTCGTGCGCGATCTGTTCGGAGCGCAAGAAGGCTTCGCAGCCACCGAAGTCAGCACCGCCCTCCTGGAAGACGTTCAACCAGGCGATCTACCTGGACTTCTTCGAGTTCAAGTTGCGCTCGGGCTCGGCGAAGATCGCGCACCTGCTGGACGGAGCTAGCCGTTTCCAGAAGTGCCGAATCGTGACGCGCGAGACCTCAGCCGAGGCCATCAAGTCCATCGAGAAGGCGTGGATCAAGCACTACGGGGCTCCGACGAGGCTCGTGATGGACGAGTGCGGCGCGGCGTGCAGTCAGGAGATGCTCGACTGGGCCAGCAACCAGAACATCAAGATGCAGGTTGCCCCGGGCGAGGCTCACCACGCCTTGGGGCCAGCCGAGCGCGCCCATCACGTGACGCGCGAGACGCTGGAGCTCTGGTTCGAGGAGACCGGCCTGGAGCGCACCATCGAGAACTTGAAGGCGGCGTTGGACTACGTGCCCAATCAGATCAACGGGATGATGCACCACAAGGGCTTCAGTCCGGCGCAGTGGGTTCTGGGCTACAACCCTGAGCTCAATGACTCCCTGTCCGCAGACGCGCTGTCCGTGCTGGCGGCGGAGGCCTACCTGGAGGAGGAGACGTTCCAAGAGGCGATGCAGAGGCGGACGGCAGCGGCGACGGCATTTCATAAGGGCGGACTCGACGGAGCGGCTGCGCAGGGCCTTCCTGCGCAAGAGGCGTGACACACACGAGGCGGTGAGCGTGGGCGACGAGTGCTACTACTGGCGCGACCGTGGAGCTTGTCGGCTTCAG